AGACAGACAGTGTGAAGTTCAGTGTGTCAGACAGTGAAGAGCAGACTTTTTAGTTAAGTGCCATGTCTCTCAATGACCAACGCTGAACTCCCTGATAGACCTTCAAAATGTACAGCAGCAGATTGGCCTACACTTTCTGCACTGATGAAGCTAAACCCATAGACACCAGGGATAATGCATGTAGAAAGGGCTGTCTTTGCACTCCAGTGGGTTTGTTTGTTGTACATGAGCTAATGGGAACAAGTGATTCTCTCTGGATATGGATGTACTCATTCAGGCAAAAATGATGGAGGTCAAGGTGGGTGGCCATTGTAGCCCTACTGGAACTAAAGAGAAACAAAAATGTAAATCACTTCAGAATATTGTAAACACATTAAATATTGCAGACTTTTAATTTTTCACAATTCCACCTCTCACATTATTTGAGAGACATTTTCACCCTCAACGTCAAAACTAAGCACTTAGGTTAGAAATGGGAACAAATTTCTAACTTCATGCCTGCTACAGTAAACAGCTGTTTTGTCTTGGGTCTGTAGGATATTAGATTTTATATTATTTCAATATTTTGAGCTATTTAGAAAACATTCAGTATTGTTAATTGGATGGAAAATGATGATCTGACAGCAGCACAGTAAGATAAAGGGAGATATATACCTCATTGCCCTGCACGTCGTCTGTGACCTCATTGGCCTCCAGGTCTTCAACAACCCCATCGTCCTGGAGGTTTTCGATGACCTTATTGCCCTGCAGGTCCTGGCTTTGCACCTTGTTCAGAACCTATATAAAAAGAAATTTCCAAATTTTAATTAAAAAATGCACAAATTAGTAAACAATAAATGGTTTTTAAGTTTTTGTGTACCAGCTTTAGCAAGATGTGAAGCAAATAGATACTTTTTATTACACTTTCTACTCAATTTGAGCACTAAAAATGCTTTCTCAAGCCTCATTCATTCAATCATACAAGGGCTTTTTTCTTTACCTAAGGACCTTTAACCTCACTGACACAGTATGGACACTGCATGGACGGATCGGGGTGTGAGTGTGTGGAGATAAAGCCAAAAGTGTGCTTAGGTGCACACTCAGATGGATACATCAGTGTGAATGTGGACTTCAGTATCTTGCCTAAGCACACTTTGGCATGCAGTTCAGTGGAAGAAGGGATTTAATGACCTTCCCATCTGAGCCACAAGATATGTAAATAGGTGCTGTGCTTTTATATTGTGACTAGCAATTAGTTAGTGATTAATACTCACGGCTGCTTCATTGAGTGGAAAACAGTTGCCTGAAAGATCAAACACCACATTTGTTATTTAAAATTTGACAGAAGATGTAAAATAGTTGCATTAAACTACTGTGGGTGAAAAATCAGTGTGATTTTGGTGCTGAGTGTTTGTTCTAGTGCTGTCTCACCTGAGTCGCAGCGTCTCTCCCGCCAAGCAGCCAGATTCAGACGAGGCGCCGCTGTGCATGGCGTGAGCCGGTTGCTTGCTGACGTGACACTGAAGACATCACGGGTGACAGATTGAATCCCAGTGTTTTCACAGATAATAGTGGACAGTTTCACACGGGACAGAGCTGCTCTTTGCTGTGTGGTGAAGACACCTGGATTCTCGTACCACAGCCTGAAAATTTTTCACCAAGTGGACGAAGGAAGAGATTAGTGTCAACAGAATCTATATCTTAAATGATATACTGATGTCAATAAAATAATATAAATAAACATGCATTAGCAAAGTTTCAGATTTTCAGTTTTCAGACTTCTTATCTTAGTTTTCGAGGGAAAAAAAAGGCACATTCGTGATGTATAAATTATAAATGCCATAACTCTAAACTCCACATCCGACACAGCTTTGCAAGCATCCATACCCATACAGACCTGTCACCCTGGCGAATCCTTTGGAACTGGGTAGCGATGAGGCAAGCAAACAGAGGCCCGACACGACCACCCTCGGCAAATGGCTCTGCAACGCCTCCGAGCCAAACATCAATGTTGTCGGGGGTTCCATAGAGCTCCAGCAGCTTGCGGGCCAGGTCGCTGTTGTTCAGCACCCTACCCAGCTCTTCTTGATTCTTGGGCTGAGACAGACCACAGAACCTCCGCCAGGCGTTGTAGCCTTAAGGAGAAAAATACATAAAGTTAGCACAGATGAGAACAATTCTGAGATGATGAAATGCTAGAAAGAAAAACCTAAAAGTGAATAAGGGATGTACCAGGGATGCCGTGGTCACGTGCCCGCTGCATGTTGAGAGAACCAAGGTCCAAGGATATATGCTGTACAAACTGGAACAGCTTGTCTCTCAGAGCAGTCACCATCATGTGATCCTGGGTGTTTAGTTTAGCGGGACTGCCAAACAAACCACGCAGCAGAGGGTCAATTCCACCTGGAAATAAAAGAGAAAAAGATTAGGCTGACAGTTTAAGACAGAGGATAAAAAGAAAATTCAACACAAGTTATATTTGTGCAACTCACCCTCGAAAGCGATTCTCCAGGGCGTGAAGAAGGCTTTAAACAAGGGTACACTAGGGAACTGAGGGTGATCCCGGAAGTTTGTATCCAGGCGGAACATAATTGGCTGAACAGCTAAGTGGGCGAAGCGGTAAGCTGCGGTTGCAAAGACGTTGGAGATGCTGGGGTCAACGGAGGGATTATAGCCGGGGTAGCGGCCAAGCTGTCTGCGCATTGCATCGGTGCCAACGATGTGCGGCAGATAGTCTCTGAACACAAACAACTGAGAGAGACGGAGAGCCTTAATTTGAGCAAATGTTGGAGAATATAAAAGCTGATTCTGAAGTTTAGCTACCTGTGTGTAAGCACCCATGATCTTGCGGGCCTCTTGGTAGAGCGTCTCGCTGTCCCAGTGGGGGTTTATCCTCTTCAGTGCACGAGCAAGGCGGTTATGCTCACGCAAAAACAACGTGTGAAGGGAGGTCAGACCGATGTTTTCATCCACACGGGCATCACCTTATGAACAGAAAGAAAACAAACATCAATACTGGTCATCTCCTGCTTAGACTGTACATTTAGAGCAGTTTAATGGATTAGTAATAACTGAGCAGCCACTTCTGGCATTACAAAATAAAACCAAAGTGCCACTAAGTGCAGTTCCTTTAGTGATTGCTTGAGAAATTACTAACCTGCAATGAAACAAGGAATCTCCCTGGCGTTTGTATCGTTGGTGACTCTTTTGCGAGTAGCGCACATTTGCACCTGGAGACTGTGGAAGGGCAGCAGCTCACGCCCGTTGTCTCTGAACTCTGTGTTTACTCGCAACAGGCCGCCATCGTCAGTGAGATTGCGAAGAGTTAGAGCGAGCTTATCTTCAGAGCCATACACCTGGCTGAGATCGAGGAAGGCTGTCAGCGCGTTGACCTGCTCTCTCCTGTTCGTCTCACCACCAAAATTTAAGGCACTGTATCCTGTGCCGCAAGCCGGGGCGGATCTGAACGCAGGGATGCACTGAGAGAAGGATAGGCGAGAGTCGCCGGGAGGAAGCTGTTCATAGACAAGAAAACATGGGTAAAAAAAACTGCTGGTCATGGATACCAAAAACAACATGCCACTGTTTGGTTTCGTGCGTCAGACACTAACCGGGATGGGAATGCATGGCTCGGTGTGCTCACAGCTCTCGTCACAGTTCACCCCGTTGCTAAAGGAACGGATGCTGGGTGAGAAGGGTGTGAAGGTGAGGTCATGGTCGTTCCACTGGCCAAACAAGGTCACCATGTGAGAATACACGGAGTCATTGCTTATGCCTGCGTCTCCTGTGCTCAGGATGTTGTTGGACACCTGTCGCACCTGAGAGTAAAGAAAGTAAGAATGCACAATTCTGGTATAAAAACTAGTAAATACATCCATTAAATTTAAAATTAAAGTCCGATATGTCTGCGTCCTACCAGTGGGAGCAAGAAGTTGTTGAATTTCCGGGTCCTGTTCCATCCTTTGGGTTCGGAGATGCCGTCGTCATACTCAGCAGGCAGCCAACGGGTGAAGGGGGTGTTGGAAGCACCGAGGCGTGGGTTCTTTCTAAAAGTAAACAAGAAACACCCATGTTTGGAAACACCACTTGAGAAACTCCAAGGGAAGTGTACACATCTTTTGCTATAGAAGGTCTCAAATGTTCAGGTGTATTGCGTAAGGATTTCCTTTGAATTTAGACTCTAGTTGGTCTCAAAATCAACTAATTCCACACAAGATCTTTTAATTTTTTCTAGGAATTATGACATAAATTACCCACCCACCCCCCATCCCCAGCAACACATTATTATCCATGAAATCAAAAAATTAAAATAGGCTACATGATGAATAATGAAATATTTTTCTCATCGAAAATGAGAATGGTTTTATATTTTATGTTTGAAATGCACAATGGTGTGCGTTCTTGCATATGCATAAAAGAAGTGCTACAGAGGTTAAAGTAGAAAGTTTCTCTTACAGGTTGTTGCACACGCTGGTGATTGTGCGGTACGTGATGAGGTTCGGTGTGGTGACGCACTGCGGAGCTTTGACTCGAGCGGCACATCCAGTTATTTGAGCAAGTTTTTGCAGATCTTCGGGAGTGAGCAAATCTGGAAAATGTGACAGAAACAGTTAAGTGAGTGCAACTTTGTCACCTTCACAAGTCTAATAGTTAATTATATTAAGAGAGAATTGAGTCTTGCATCATGAAACACTAAAGATTCTCAACTCCAGCCAGTAAAAGTTGCCGCAAAGATTGTGTGTGTTGCCTTTGTGTGGGCGCTGTATGTCTAACCTGTTGCATTGAGTGAGCGCTTGTGCACATGATGGACTTTCTCCTGCACAAGACGGATGGTTTGCGCCATGTAGTCTGCAGATCTCACCGCAGAGCGTGTGTCACCTCGGGGTTGCTTCAGGAGACGAAGAGCATCGTGAGGACTCACCACATCCCTGCGGACTCGTCTCAGACTCCTGGAGGGAAAAAAGTCACACAGTT